AATACATATTTTTATTGATTTCAGAGAGGGAGGGAGAGACAGAGACATCAATGAGGAGAGAGAATCGTGGATCGGCTGCCTCCTGCACGCCCCTCACTGGGGATGGAGCCCACAACCCCGGCATGTGCCCTGACGGGGAATCGAGCTGTGACCTCCTGATTCATAGGCCGACCCTCAACCACTGAGCCACGCTGGCCGGGCTCTGTGCCCTTTTTTAAACTTTATCCTAGCGCAGCAGCCACCAGCCACAGGTGGCCACGTTACGTCGGATTTAAATTTCAGTTCCCCAGACCCCGCAGGTGCAGGCGGCTTCTCAGTAGCCACGGAGGCCCCCCCGGGACAGCGAGGTCGTGGCCTCTCCGTCCGTCTGTCCTCCTCCCTCTCAGAAACCAGTTCCAACAAAAGACCGTGCTGAGTGACTTGTTTTCACAGCGTATCCGTGACCGAAAGACAATATGAAACAGAGAAGAAAGAATAGAGTGAGGTTCACAGGGGCCTCTCTTCTGGGTGGCCTGGCCCGTCCCCGGCCTCTGTGACGAAGAATGGGTTTGTTTCCCAGCTGTTTGGGACACAGAGTGAGTGACAGTTTGAAAAGTAGGTGCCCGGACTGGGTGCCCAGCCCCCTTGACACACAGGCGTGGGCGCTGCGGACCACTGGCCCGCCACCTATGTCCACGTGGGCTTGGGCGGTGACAGGCCGCGGACACGCTGCTGAAAGAATTTTTTGCATGAATCTCGTTCCGGGAATTCAGAACGTGTGGACTTCAGGGCCCTAACGTTTTCTTCCCTGGACGTGGCCAGACCAGAGCGGACGGCCTGCGAGGCTGCGCTGTGGACCACGGCCCCGGACGTGTCCCTGAGCCTGGCCACGCCCTCCCTCCTGCCACGGCCCTGGGACCAGCGTCATGCATCTCACCGCTGCAGGAGCAGCGTCCTCTGTGCCTTCACGTGTTTAAAGCCCTGGTGTCCAGTCGAGCAGCATCTGACGTGGGTGATCCACACGTGTGTCACGCGCTGCTTCTGCTCGGAATGGCCGTGTGCCCTCACGCCTCGCCATCCGTCCTTGGACACGCGCTTGGAGGGAGGGGACAGCGCCCTGGACATGCGCTGTTTTGCTTCTCGCTTGCCTGCTACTGATTCCTTTTTCTTATTTCTCTTTTTTTAGGTCGCCTGCAGCGTTTGCATGTTGAGAAGGTATCGTTGTTAAACTGTGGGCGGTGGGTTTGTGCAGACGGGTTCATGGGCGGTGAGAGTGAGAGCAGGTTCTGGTGGTGACGGCAGGAGTCCGTGTAGGTGATCCTTGAGGTAAAAGTGTCCGGCTTTTGCGAAGTTCCTGCCGGGACCTTTTCTCTGTCCGGGTGCTGGTTGCTTGCATGGCATCAGCTCCCATGATGGTAGGTAGCACGGGAGATGGCAGTTGGCACCGAATGGCCCCCCAGGCTGGGTCGTCCCTTGACCCGGGGCCAGTGGACGGTTCCCTATTGTGCCTTGTCTGCCTCCATGGAGGGCAGGAGGTTGGCCAGCCCTGAGCTGGGGCACCCACAGCAGGTGCAGGACAGGCATCCTCACTGCCGCCCTCCGGGGCCCGGACACACCAGGCCTGACCTCCTGTTCACCGTCCGGCCCAGATGAGCCCCGAGTACGTCTGCAGGGACTCGGGGTGACCGGACAGATGAACCCCGAGTGTGTCTGCAGGGACTCGGAGTGACCGGACAGATGAGCCCGAGTATGTCTGCAGGGACTCGGGGCGACCTGACAGATGAGCCCCGAGTGCGTCTGCAGGGACTCGGGGTGACCGGACAGATGAACCCCGAGTGTGTCTGCAGGGACTCGGAGTGACCGGACAGATGAGCCCGAGTATGTCTGCAGGGACTCGGGGCGACCTGACAGATGAGCCCCGAGTGCGTCTGCAGGGACTCGGGGTGACCGGACAGATGAACCCCGAGTGTGTCTGCAGGGACTCGGAGTGACCGGACAGATGAGCCCGAGTATGTCTGCAGGGACTCGGGGCGACCTGACAGATGAGCCCCGAGTGCGTCTGCAGGGACTCGGGGTGACCGGACAGATGAACCCCGAGTGTGTCTGCAGGGACTCGGAGTGACCGGACAGATGAGCCCGAGTATGTCTGCAGGGACTCGGGGCGACCTGACAGATGAGCCCCGAGTGCGTCTGCAGGGACTCGGGGTGACCGGACAGATGAACCCCGAGTGTGTCTGCAGGGACTCGGAGTGACCGGACAGATGAGCCCGAGTATGTCTGCAGGGACTCGGGGCGACCTGACAGATGAGCCCCGAGTGCGTCTGCAGGGACTCGGGGTGACCGGACAGATGAACCCCGAGTGTGTCTGCAGGGACTCGGAGTGACCGGACAGATGAGCCCGAGTATGTCTGCAGGGACTCGGGGCGACCTGACAGATGAGCCCCGAGTGCGTCTGCAGGGACTCGGGGTGACCGGACAGATGAACCCCGAGTGTGTCTGCAGGGACTCGGAGTGACCGGACAGATGAGCCCCGAGTATGTCTGCAGGGACTCAGGGTGTCTGGCCCAGATGAGCCCCGAGTGCATCTGCAGGGACTTGGGGTGTCCACCCAGATGAGCCCCGAGTGCCTCTCAGGGGACTCGGGGTATCCGTACAGATGAGCCCCGAGTGTGTCTGCAGGGACTCGGGGTGTCCGGACAGGTGAGCCCCGAGTGTGTCTGCAGGGACTCGGGGTGGTGACCGGACAGATGAGCCCCGAGTGTGTCTGCAGGGACTCGGGGTGTCCGGACAGATGATCCCCGAGTGTGTCTGCAGGGACTCGGGGGGACCTGGGAGCTGAGC